GATCCACTGTAGTTAACATATCTATAACCATTTACATCAGTAGAAGGTCTGGTCTATCAATAGCAGCTACGGAATCAATTTTTAAGATGCATTTGTGTAACAATTAACATAATGCATTTCTTGACTAAATGCTCTAGAAGAAGGATCCAGAAGAAAGTGGGCATGCACATATATGGGGTGTTTATACCTTTATTTATACTTCTATTGTTTTTACAGTATTCCAGAAAGGTATTTGGCAATGGTGGAAAAGGGTAATATCCACCAATGACAGTTTTCTTCATTTGATCAGCTTCGTTTTGAGTTTTAATCCACCTAATAAAGTTTTTCACTTTGGTATCCTTGGTATATGGTTGACCTTTGTGCCACCCTATTAAAACAAGAGATTTAGGAATTAAAATAAAAGAATTAACCAGGTCACTTCAATTGGCTTCTATCTACATAAAAAAAAATCTATCTTTTCTTTTCCCTTTCTGCATGCGTCTCAGAGAGGAAATCTAACTACTTTCCTGTACCTGCTGAAACTTGACTGGTCCCAGGTTTTAATCTATTCAATAAGACTTGGATACATTAGGGCATGGGGGGAAAAAGAGAAAACCTAATTTTTTTAAGAAATAGAAAACTTAACTGTATCCAACGAGGGACAGACTCCCGAGGATTTTAAAAATTGCTTTTCAGTAGAATGGAAGGAGCATGACAAGGTATGCAACAGCATAATAGCTGAATTTGCTATAAAAGCAAACTGCTGTTCTTCAGTATCAATAAAAGTCACAGAGATATACAACAGCTCCAGGATCTCATTTTCTAAAATGGTAGATGTATAACCATATACAAATGTATTTGTTTAAAACAAATGTATTTACCTGTAACGAATATCTGACTCTCATTCGATGTTGTAAGGTAAATGGGTAATGGATGTTCAGTGATGTTTCGTACCACTCTCATCTGTGTACACACTAAGTACATCACTAGAAAGAAAGAAAGAAATTCTGTTGGTAATAATATATCATTAACAGTATTGCAGTTTCAAAGTTTTCTCATATCAAAGTGGATACTAAAAACAAAGATAGCTTAGCTCTCGGTTCTACAAACCCTGAAATATGTGTTTAATCTTTAACTTTGTGTTAAAGGATTGCCACGTGGAATCTAACTGGATTTGCAGCTGTTAAAGATGCAACAAGGATATCCTGATGCGTGTTAAGCATGTGTGTGTGTGTACACAAGATTAGGGCCCTAAACAGCTGTGATATGATTAAAGTTAGTAAGTTTACTTTTACTTTTTCTCTCTGGAATGTGATGTTCAGGTACAGATTACAAATTAGGCATAACAAACCACCCAGATGCCATAACAGTGTTAACAAAAAACAAGCCCACTCTTTCATTAGGCTGCTTACTAGGTGCACTAGAATAATTTGAACTTTCCCAGGGATATTAGTTTAGTACGCTATTTGATTTATGCACAGGAACTTAAGTCTTCATGATTTCCCCAGAACATTCAAAACCATTTCAAATCCACATACTGTGTTAGGCCCTAGTTCCTATATTCTAGCAATCAGAGCTGGATGTGAAGCGCCTTTTTTTTTTTTTTAAATTATTAAGCATTTGGAAGGCAAGAGAGAGAGACACACTGATTCTATATAATGTGGATTAAAGGATTTCTCTGGAATGTGACAGACCTAGGCTCAAGTCCCTGTTCTGAATCTGGCAGAGAAGGGACTTGAAAATGGGTTTCCAATATCAGCTCCAGAAATACTAGGCTATCAGTTATTCTGGTTGGTTCATTGATTGGTCCTTCTCTGTCTTGGTTTTTTCCCCATGAAAATTTTGGAAAGGTCTTAATATTACTTTTCTACTATAAACAAAAAAAAGAAATCTTGAAGCTCAGAAGGCTTTGTCCAATGGAACAACTAGCTAGTTCTTTATTATCAGGCACTGGGAAGAAACAGCCAATGCAAACAACTAGAAGTAACAGTTAAAGTAAGGTACAATTTTACATTTGATTTCACTCGTTTTCATGTCAATTAGTTTGAAAAAGAATGTGATGGTTAAAAGAGGTTAACGGCTGTGATGCCATTCATCACAGAAGCCCTACCGATCCATACCTCTTTCCCTTAACCCACAAACACAGCAGTGACTATTTTATGAGAAACAGCAGTTTATTTCTTTGCCCCTAGCCATGAACTCTCATCATGCTCCACTGGTTAGAGCTGTAGTCACTCACATCACTGTTGGTTCTATGATGCATACTAATCACTGTTGGTAAGGGAAAGAAAGTGCTATTGAAGGTGGTACAGTTGGACAAAAAGATGCATCAACTTCAGTCATGCTCAAAGCAGAAAAGAAACACCAAGTACTAAATACTAGAGAATATAAAAATTCCTTAAAAGCTGCTGCAGTCAATGACATGAAAACAAGTAATCTTACTTAGGAATAAAACTATTCAGTTCAGTCTTTTTAATGAGAGCAGGATAAATAGGGTCTGGATTATCTTGACTAAGCACTTGGAAAAGATATTCAGAAATATATTAGCCAAGTCAATAGAATTTTAAATAAAACAGAGAATTAGTATGTTTCCCAAAGTGCCTTTCAACATGCTTTATCCTTAACATGAAAGTAGTCCCTGGAGTGAATATGCAGTTAATTCCTAATGTTCAGTCAATTCTTAGACTTTGCTAGGATTGCTGATGTGGGTAAGAAGTGTCATTGCAGTCTTTGTGATATGGACTCTTACCTACTAGGGGTCTAGGCTAAAACCATAGACTTGTTTCATACAAAAAAGTCTCAGTCTGCTCTACGTAAAAATAAGCAGCTTAAAGATGCACATGCTTCATACCCTGCTACCAATCCATCACTTCAGTATATGGTGCAGTTAGATGAACGTTTTAGATGAAAATTTTCAAATTTGAGTGCTCAAAAGTTACATGTTCAAATCTCTATTTATGCACAAAATGAAGTGCTTGATTTGTAGAGCTGTGCTACTAGGTACTTCAGGTGAAGTCCTACCAGTATATTCTCTGAAGTCAAACTATATGCATTCTCTCTATATATGAGAATTCTGACAATAATATGCATTCTAAAAACAATTAGAATAAAAAGAGAGCACAGACCATTTCCTTAAATTCTAAGACCCTATTTTCTGGTTCAAAATGGAATGAAGTCAATGGGAAGTCTCCCACTGATTTCATTGTGTGTTTGATCAGGCTTTAGGACCAGTGCATCACATGATTGCTGTGTAGCTGTTTCTCCCTGGCTGAGAGATCCTATAGTTTTAGGCAACTTTTTATCATCCTGAAGTGACTTCAAATATACATTTACCAAGTGTTCTAACTTATCTTTGCAAGTCCCTCAGAAAAGTGAGCCAAGTACTACATGCATCTCAATTATATCCAGATTTTGCATGAGGTACTACATGCATCTCAATTATATCCAGATTTTGCATGCACTCTCTCATCTTGTCTGCCAGTTCTGACAAGTACCAGGGATCAGGGGAGCACAGTCATGGATGAGAGCTAACCAATAACTGCATTAGCCCATCTAACGGATGGTGCGTGTTTCTCCATTTGTTAGTAGATATTAGCAGCTGGAGGCAGTACTTGGATCCATTGCTTTTATTAGACAATCATAAAGAAAGCAGAATTTCTAAACAGGCCTTACTCTATCTCCACCTGGTCAGTATGTTCCTAGCAATGTTTATTGACGTTCCTACAATTATTTCTACCTCAGGTAAGCTCAAGAACACAAAGTTCTCTCTTAACAACTCAATGCAGAAACTGAAGATTATGAACAAACAGGGAGCCTTATTAACCTGATTATCCTTCCAAACACTTCACTAGTGCGCTGTGATTTCCACTAGTTTCATATTGTTTTCTGAGTGGAGTTTAAAGAGTTACTTGTGACATATAAAGCTCTAAATGGCTTCGAACTTGTTTAGTTGAGAGACTACCTCCCCCCTATATAGAACTGACATAGCTATAGAGTCAGTGGACTTTTCTGAGGTGAAGCCCTTCTCATAAGAGAGAATGGGAGTATCAGTCAGATGTTCTCTTATGTACACAGATTCATTTAACTTTGTCTGAACCAAAGCAAAACAGCCCATCTTACCTAGATTACTGGGCATGTTATGGCATGATAAGGGTTACCAATTTTATTGAGGGGTGCATTGTTTAGGTTTGCTTTCATTCAGGTCATTTATTTTTTGATTCAGGATAAGAAAAATCTATACTGCTATTTTTTTTAAGGTAATGATGTCTGGTGCTTGAAATTCATGCTCATCTAAAAATGTATTTTGCATTGAAATAAATATGAAAATACAACTATCATAATATTAAAAAAGATAAATACTTGGGTGAATATGTTCAAACACATCTGGCTGAGATGTGGCAAACAATTCCAGTATGAATGGATGACTTGAGGTCCCATCAATAACATGTACCCAGCGGCTTGTCCAAAAATCTTCACCATGTTCTGTCCAAAACAAACACACACACAATTACACCACTAAAACTATAATGTTTTGTCAAATATTTTAAACAATTTTTATTAAAGAAACCTTTCTTTTTTGTCCGTTCTGTCCGTCCCACAAATGTCACAAGGCCAATTACATCACAGGAATGACTGTTTGGTAAGTTATCCAGTTCTGACCTAAAAATAAAAATTGGAGAATTTTTATATATAATACACACACACACACACACACACACACACACACACACACACACACACACACACACACACACACACACACACACACACACACACACACACACACACACGTATACTTGTTAGTGACTCAAAAGGGAAATCACTCAGAAAAATTCCTAAATGACAAACAGAAGAGAAAGGGTGGAGGGGGGGGCAAGGGACACAATTATATTTTTTCTATAATATCATTCAATATTCAATGTTAATTAACAAAAACTCAGCCTTCAGGAAATATAGAAATCTTTATTTTACCTAGTTATAAACCGGTATTTAACTTCAGGTAATCTCCATTCTGGTTTAACTATTGATTCCGGAACAACAGTAATTTTTGTTGGAGGATCTCGAACATTCAGGCTGATTTCTGAGGGGGGGAAGAGGAGAGGGACACAGACAGAACAGTATTTTAAGCATGAAAATGCATTTGAGCAATGGAAAACTTATTTTGACAAAATGAATAAAATGAAACAATTTTTGTTACATTTTCTAAATTACTAACAGACCCTCTTGATTCTAGATCTCTATGTGGATACAGTAAGGACTACAACCCTGACAAAGAAAGGGGAAAAAAATATATATAGGAAGAGCACTATATAGACCAGTGGTTCTCAACCTTTTTGTACTTGAGACGCTGCTCAAAGACTCAAGGTGCTCTTTGAAAAATGCCAGCTCTTAGTTTTCACTTCCTTTTTTGGACTACAGAGCAATTTTCCTCTTGCAAAGAATTCAGATCACAACAGGTCAGAATTATTTTAACATTACAAATTCCCATTTAAAAACAGAGTTGATCTTGCAAGTCATGTTTGCACACCGAACAGCGCTAACATTGAATGGCACCCCTGAAAGGATGTCAAGGCAGCAGAGGTTGAAACTACTGGTATAGATCAATCTGTTGGTGGCCAAGGAGGCTTTTTTCAGTATCTTCTGTCAACCAGTACTGATATTAATACTGACTGGCTCTTAACCACTCTGTCCACTGGTTTCACCCTCAAAGAGCACCATAATTTTCAGATAAATTCTAAGAGACGAAACAAAAGGAAAGGCAGCTGGCACAAGTGCTGATATGAACCCGAGCAGTTATGAACCAGATGTCATGGGGGCAGAAGAGATAGGAAGTAGCGGTCACATTGCTATTTCCCTCTCTGTGCCATTCCACGGCATCTGCAAAGTTAAACATAGCAAATAGAATGGTTCAGGCTGTAGACAGTTTGGTTAACAGAATCATTTTTCATTGGAAACAGGGTTGGGTGATACAAAAAGGGATGGTTTATGGTGTCTGTTTATGCAGGCGATACTCTGAGCTATATGGATAAAAGAATATTCAAATCAAGCCATTTTATACATCTTTGACATCTTAGTAATTTACTATAATATGACATTTCACTGACAGGATCATTCTGAAAAATACAACAAAGTAAACGCATTTTCAGATAGTTATATAAAATGGACCATATCTATTACCCTACAGATTTTTTCTGATATTCTTGCAGTTTACAGTACTATTCTCTATTTTTACAGGGCCCATGAAAACAGCTCATCCATCAATCTATGACATGTATTTTTTAAGTAAAAAAAAGAGTAGCTCTTTGTTGAAAGGAGAAAAAAAACAAGGAATATTGTACACATTTAAGAGGAAAGAAGATGGGTCATTTTTTTACAGTACATCTGCAACCTGCAGATGCCCCATGACACTTCACTGAGTTACTGTCTTCATTCTCCTATTGTGTAGCTATTACTATTTACAGCCTCTTGGTCTTACTTCTCGTGTTGATTTTGATTGCCCTGTTGTTATTTGCACATTACCGCTTGTGGAATGCCAACAAACCATTAAAAATGGTTTGTTTACATAAGAAGTCCTCTCAGATTGGCATATTTTATTATGCCCCTTTGTTGCAGGAAGGTCTGTGACAATTTATAATTATAGTTAGGCTCACTTGTAATCATTAACAGTTTTCATTCATCTTCTTCCCCTCCCCCCACACTGAAATCTCCCTGCCTGGCAGAACAGTTCCCTTTCCTGCCAACTCATCATAAACACTTCAGATGTTAAGATCTGGTCTTAAGGCAAAATATATTAGGCAGAAAAGACACAGCTTTGAGCAGTACCATATACTGTTTATTTTCATGCGGAGTGGCAACTACATTAGCGAAACTGTCACCACTAATAAAAGACTAAGACACATACACCATCCCTCTCCAATACACAGCTTTGCTTGTTTCAAGGAAATGGAGTGGCTTTTCTGAAAGGGTGGCACTGATTAATTCAAATGTGAGTACATTAGGGAAAGGGAGTTCATTTTCAGGACAGGAGAAAGAATTGCTGATGACAAAGCCTAGGGTGAGGCGGTCAGTACTTTGCATAGAGAGCACTGGCATTCCTTGGCTTTAAATCACACTGGGAAACAGCAGAGAGAAAGTCATTTCCTTCTTCAACAGAATCAGCATATCAAGGGCTCCCTATGGCACTTCAGTGCATTGGACAAAAGTCACAGACACAAATGGAGTACATAACGCACCCATCCAGACTGGGTGCTACACTAACACAGAATATGAACAAATCTGTTTTGCTGCTTTAAAAAAATGTGGGGTTGGGCTGCGCCTAGAAAGCATGTATCAACTGCTATGATCTCATACTTTCCTCTGCTGCATCCTGAAGTGGTGCAAGTTAGCCAAGTCACCCTAACTTGGATAATGAATGAAGTAGGGGTAATGCTAGACTGGTTTTGCTACACTTGTATTATTACAGAATCATACAGGTTAACAGCTGCATCATAGCAGCTTATATGAGTATCCTTTGACTTGATACAATTGTTATCCTTTGATCTGATGCATTTGTCTACACCCAAGTTGACTAATAAAGTTGTTTTGTTTTAAAAAAGCTGTCTGTTGTCACTACAAACATCCGCTGGTTGCAGAGACCCCAAAGTATCCAAAGGAGGCTCAAGTTTTGTATTCACTGAAACAGCTGCACTATAAAGAGGAGTCCTTCAGCTAGGGACTCCTGGATGAACAGAGCTACAGGACGCTTCCCCCTTACAAAACATGGAAGCATATAGCCTTACACTTACATGGATACACTTCTCAAGAGGCTAAACATTGGCAGCAAACTGGCCCTACAGATCTGCAAGGGGGTGCAATTCCAAGACTCGGTGCTCCAGGAAACCCCATCAATGTCCTGTGTGTTTCACCTGCTTTTATACGGGAACGGGACATACACAAGCAAGTCAGCTGAAAGCTACCTAATCTTACTATGGCTCCTGTAACTGTCAGCTGCAATAATACTTTCTTTATACAGCTACATTTAATTGAATTGGAACAGATTTCTGGAATACTTAACCAATTGTAGCAAATCTCTTCATCTGTGAATCCCCTGGGGTTGGCTGTGTTTTAAATGGATAACTGGTTTTGATAGCATACTGTTCAAGTAGAAGCACTGTGCCAACCTGCATACTGTTATACCATTCAGGACATAAGGAATTCCACAAAACCATTGACATCATGCCTGAACTGTCAGCAACTTCAAAATAAGCCTAAGAGAAGGGGAAAAAAATAAGTGTTTGACCTTTGGTTACACAGAAGAGAACAACTGTTGTTTTTAAATAATGATTACAATTCCCACTGACTTGACAGTAGTTTGCCTAGTAGTTTCAATACTAGTCAGACTTACCTGAAGCCATAGTTAGCACCAAGTGGTTAAATTCAACAAGAGGAGTGCAAGAAATCTATACCTCCCTGCATGAGACTCCAACTGATGTACTTATTTCTGTTCTTAGCACTGCTAGGTGCTGAAAGGAACAGAAAGAGTTACAATCACTTTCACCTTATTCTGTGCCCCTTTCAGGTGGTTAAGGAAATACCCTGGGTATGGGTACACAAGAAAATAAAAACTAGAAAATGCAGAGAAAAAGTAAAGTGGATTATTAGCTCATCAGGCATCAATAAAGATTTATGAAAGAGACAGGCTTAATGGCATTAGTGCACCATTCACGTTAATAAAGATACTTGCAAACTTTAAAGGATCAAACTAACAACTTATTACTCACTCTACACCTTAAAGACATTTTTCTCCCCCTAAATAAACACACAGATTCAATCACCTAAAAGACAACTTGTCATGATGCTCTAGAGAATTTTGCTATCTGTGATGAAGAGTAACTTGCCTAACTCTATCCCAACTACATGTTCGGTCCAATAAAACATCACCCTCAGAAATCCTTGCCACTCGCATAAGTGCTAGACCATCACAGCTACATCATTACTCTTACACTACCGTTATTTGTGACTGTCAGTCACCAAACTGCGGGTTCAATCATGAAATCACATCTACCTGGATTTATCAGTTCCATATTTTAAATGGCTAAGCTTTTATAAAAGTAACATTTTTAGAGTTTATTTGTTACTGAATGCATGAACCTTAACCATATGGGAATAAAACTGCTTCCATGCATTTTAGAGCTACTCATATGAGAGGTCTAATTCATGTTGCTCTTTTACCTGATATGGAACGTCCAGTCTTTTGTCAGGTTTCCCATAGTACCTCAGTCTAGATTTGTGCATGATTCTCACAAGCAAGGGACGGAAGTGAATTCTGTTTCTCCAGCTCATTTCCAGATGACCAAGGGAAATTAATTTGGATGCTATGGAAAAATCAAAATGATAAAATAGTTCATAAAGTCAGATCTTAACACGTCTGGTGGCAAACGTGCTGCATAAATTGCATCTGTGGCAAACTATTTCCTAAGCGAACAAGATGCTGTGCATTTTTATAACGTTTCTATCATAAGAATCTGTTTGCTAATGTCACACATGTTGGAACTCAGTTCTCAGTCCTTTGTGCATAGCACAGACTATACTTTTAAATTGTGGTGACATACATGTCTAAAGCACTAGTACCACATTTCCAACACATAAACCATCACCATGAGCAGTGGAAAACTATTCTAAAACATACACAGTTCAATGAATGAGGCCCCTGGTCATGCAGCAAGTTCTGCATGACACCACCTGGCACTTCTCTACACAGAGCACAATTCACATCTCCATGCACTGGCAGGGCTGCCTGTAGCAAATATCTCCCTATGGGACCTGCACTGCAATTCATATATTTCAGCTCAGATTTCACTTCAAATATGGATGTAGGCCCCTGTTTAAAAATAATATTCTGAGAAAACACTTTTGGACACCCTGAAAGATCAGGAACCAGCTAGTGGCTCTTAATTTAAGATGTTTTCCCAAATATCTAGAAAAAAAGCAGGGATATTTTTTTAACTATGTTGCAATCTAGGTTTATGTTTGGGGGGAAGGAAACATAACCTTTCACTTGTTGAGATCAAGCATGTATTTGTTAAGCAAACAACACAATAGGGTCCCGTCTCTGATCCGGGGTTTTTATTCTCTCCTTCTTGTGCACATCCTTTCACATCATCAAATGACGTGAGCTTCAGCTCGCTAAAGCTCATGTTACCCATCTAAGGTAAGTAACTGTTAATCAACAAACAACAGAAATAATTTCTGTGACTTTTGTTGTGGACCCCGTCAAACAAAGGCAACAGAAGTACATGCTTCCCAAGGTACGGCCTCTTGAGAAATGTCAGCTAGGTGATCCACAGGATGGATCAGTTTTCCATGGCCTGGATTCTGGGCCTGACACTGTGGCCCCTGCTACATGTTACACATATTATGCAATTAACTGGTTAAATATACAATAAATTTAGGCTGGCCACATGTGCAAAGTAATTATCACATGATAAAAATCACTACCCAACTACAAAGAAGAGCCAACCATCTACAAAGTTAGTGCTTGAAAATGCGTAACAACTCAATGGCTGGTTTTTATCCAGCTATCATTTGAACGTATGGCAATGCCCAGTGAACAAGACCCTAAGGTGAATTCATAGAATCATAGAGAAGCAGAGCCGGAAGGGACCTCCAGAGGTCAGCTAGTCCAACCCCCTGCCTGAGGCAGGATCATTTCTATTCAAACCATCCTATACAGATCCATAATTTAAACTCTTGGTAAAACTGCCATCAACCCTGCCATGGGTAACAGGGAATCATTGTAGCCAACATCCTGCTTCTGTTAATATACACTCACGAGATCCTAGGGAGAAGGCCATGCCCCCCGCTGCAGAGGAACGCAACCACGACCCCCCAGTCCGTACCAATCTGACCAGGGGGTAAAATTCTTTTCTGACCATAAATCTGCTGAGCGATGTTACCCTGAGCAGAGGGGCAAAACCCTCTAGCCATGAATCTGTGGCTTTGGTCCCAGGAAGAGCATGGGCATAGCCCAGATACAATCCCTAGCTCTGACTGCAGCCAACACCCAATGTCTCTGAGGGAGGCTTAAAAAAACGCTGATGCAGGTAGTGGGGGGAAGCAGGCCAAGAAGCCTGGGAAATTCTCATGGCAGGACATAGGCATAGCTATGCCTAGGTCATCCCTGACCAGCGCCTGATCAGCCTCCTTTTGAAGCCCTCCAGTGATGGCGAGTCCACAACTCCCCACAGCATCTCTTCCACAGCCTCACTGCTCTAAAAGTGAAGACGCTTTTCCTGAGATCCAACTTAAACCTACTTGGCTGCAACTTCAGGCCACGGGTCCATGGCCAACTGCAGCAAGAGAGGAGAGACACTTTTCCTCCTCTTTACAGCAGCTCTTCAAGTATTTGAAGACCGCTAACAGGCCCCCTCTCGATCGCCTTTTAGATGAGCTGATCACGGTGAGCTCTTTCAGCCTCTTCTCACGTGACCTTGCAATCATCTTAGGCGCCGGCCTCTGGACCCTCACGAACGTCTCCATATCCTTTTTGAAACGTGGAGCCCAGAAGCACAGCCGAGACTCCAGACGAGGCCTAACTGGTGCCGAGGAGAGAGGCGCTACCACCGCCCATGTGCCGGCGCCACTCACCCTCGACGTCGACCTGGCCTGGTGGCTTCTCGACCACCCACAGGTCACCATACGGGTCCTCGTTGTTCCACAGGGGAAGGAAATGCTTCCTCCCACCCTTCAGAGGCAGCTGGCGGCTCTCGGCGGGTGGCGCCCTCCAGCCCGGGGCCGCAGCCGGGAGGTCGCCCACCACCTCCAGCTGCTCCAGGCACAGGAAGCCGTGGCCCAGCTGCCGCTCCTCGTACAGGTAGGAGCAGCGCTTGACGCGCACCTGGCAACCAGCCCGCAGGGCGCCACGCTGCACCAGGTGGTGCAGGGGGGGTGCCAGGTGGCACTGGCGCTGGCAGGCGCTGTCCGCCAGGGTCACATCGTAGCGGTACTGGGGGCAGGCAGGGGGCGAGACGGCTGCCCCAGGGCCTTCGCCCAGGTACCTCTCCACAGCCACCACCGCCAGGGGCAGGGCAGGCTGCGAGGCCGGGCCTAGGGGCGGCTCCTGGGCGACCCTCTGCAGCCAGG